AGGTCAGGGTAGTACAAATTACGGGAAGAGCCAGAGACGCGGTGGCCACCAGAATAACTACAAGCCATACTGAGGCGGCGGCAGGCAAGACCGGCTGACCGCACCGCTCCGTTTGGATATCAGTGAACACAATTATGTACCAAATTTAACTTGGCAAACTTTCTATGGCCTGTCCCATGTGCATCTTATTTAAAATTTCCCCCCTGGAAATCACTCTCCCGTTTACTATTTCCAGAGCTCTAGTTGTGTTAGCGGCGTGTGGTGTATCAGAGGCCGAGCAGCATCATGGGCCTATTTTATTACCAGGTTCCCCAGAACCAGATTGGAGGGTCTGTGCCCAGTCTGCCACTCTATAGCCTGGGCCTGTGGACCCTGGTGTTAAAGAGTAAAACTGTATCTTAGGAAACCAGTGTCACCTTTTTTTCACCTTTTAATTTTATATTATTTGTGTCATACATTTCCTGTAATGGAAGTGTTAATTTTACTGTACTTTTTGGTACCTTTTGGGAATCTAATGTATTGTAAGGTATTTTACACGTGTCCTGATTTTGCCACGACCTGGATATTGAAGCTATCCAAGCTTTTGAAATAAAAATTTAAAAACCCCCAAGCCTAGGTGAGTGTGGGCTATGCTCTATGAGACCTCTTGCCCAGAGTGGGTTGCTGCCAAGTGCCTTCCTTTTCCAGCCTGAGCCCTGACCCTCAGTGCCCTCCAGCTGTAGGGCCCACCTTGGGTGTGGAGCTTGGGAGGACTTGACTGCTGACCTTTTTGTGCTTTATTTGTCCTATTTCTATCCATCTGACAGAATTCTGTCAGGCATAACCACCTGGACCCACCATCTTTTAAGTTTTCTTTTAATGACAAGATGCTGTGTCCTCCCCATTTCCCTTAAAAGAAAGGAAGGAGATGGGTCTGTGATTTGAAGCAGTTGTGTAGTGAAAGCTGTTCTCATGTGTGTCATCCCACCCAACAAAGCAACCCACTTCCGTGAAGCTGGTTCTGACTTGTAAGTCTATGGGAACAGACAGTTTAATTTTTGTAATGCAGAGCTGCTGGTGGATTTGAACCACAGACCTTATGATAAGCACTCCACTGCTTAATTACAGTTCAAGAGTGCCCAATGGAAATAGGATTCTCTGTCTTCTAGTAGTGATTGGACATGGGGAAAAGTTAGTTGGCTAGACTTCGGAGTGATTTGTGCTCCTCCTTGGCTATTATTAAGTGCCATTGAGTCAGTTCTAACTCATCAACCCTGTATAAGTTGGTGGGTTTGAAGCATGGATCTTGTGGTCCAGAGCATTATCCTGCAGTGCCACACCAGGACTCCTTGGTTAGGGCATTGCAAATTTGGCAGTTGAGGGCTGGGACAACTTGATTATTCATCTTGGCTGAGGGTGAAAATGGTGGCTCCTGTTTATGGCACAATTTATAATTGAAGATTTTTTGTTTTTGGTGGGGTGCAGCTCCAGCTTGGAGCGGTCTCTTGTTGAAGTTACCCTGTGGGAAGGAAAACATATAAGACATTTTAAAAGAAAAGGTTCCACTTGAGCAATGAGCTGCTGCTGCTGGTGCTAAGATGTCCACCTGTGACCTTGGTAGGCAGGTAGCCCACCCTACTCACCTCAGGGGAAGGAGACCTGACAGGCAGGGTGGGGCTTTAGCCTCAGTGTAGCACAGCTGCTCAGCACCACCTCCATGTCTGGAAAAGACCACAAAAGGTTGGCTATAGTCATTCAGACCTCCCATGGTTCCAGAGCCCTCTGTCGGGAACTGTGACATAACCAAGAAGGGGAAGGGGCCCATTCAAAACAAGTCTGCAGGAGTGCATGGGGTATGCAAATGGTCAGGACACATGGTTGCTAAGCAAAAGACTGGCTTTGAGTCTACCCAGAGGTACCTGGAAGGTATTCCCATGGGTCACAGTTGACTTGATGGCAATGTTTTTCCTCACTGAGTTTAGCAAGCGGACCCCTCTTGCCCTGATCCTGTGTCCCACACTCGCCTGCCCAGGGACTTGTGACCCTTTTTTTTCTGGTCATAGCAGGAACCAGTCAGGAAGACATGCTGGAAATGTCTGGTTCCAGGTTGAGTTTTAGGGGATGGTCAGCTGCAGGGTTGGCTCACCACTTAGGACAGCATCCAGTGTTGCTACCACACGGTGTGCATCCTTAAAGCTGAAGCACATTGGGGGCTTAAACTTCAGGACGTTCCTCCCAGGACCATCAGTGCTTAGCAAAATGTAGTTCTCTTTCAGCCTATGAGGACAGGACACCAGTAGGAATGGGATGCTGCTGGTCATCAGCCAAGACCCAGAGCCATCCCATCATGTGGCTTCAAGTCCTTCACTAGACTGATAACTGACTCTGCCCCCAGGGCAGGAACCTCACCTTATCTATCCCTAAGTTAAACCAGCAGTAGCCAGCCACACTGCAAGAAATTACCTTTTCTTCAAAAGGTTCCCCCCTCTACTCTTTTTTGCATGTGTGGTGCATTTTTATGTGGTTTATGTGGCTTAGGAGTGTGAAAATGTCACACTCCTAAGCCACATGGAAAATGTCAAACGCTTAATGGTTATAAAGAGCCTTGTATACCTTCAGCTGGCTTCACCAAACCAACCTTGTTTCTTTTCCCTGCAACGATTGTTTATTTCTAAAGAATAAGTAACAGTTTTTATGCTGTTAACCTAACACTCCTTATGTGAAAACTGGTCTGCAGTAATGGAGGGTGACTGCATCATTAAATAACTGCTAGATCCCATGGTAAAACGGCCTAGTCAGCCTTAACCATCACAGCCAGCATTAGTTTCCCATGTGAGGTTGTGTGTTTTTTGGTCAGGAGCAGGGCTTGCCCTTAGCATGCTTTCAGGATCCTTTTCTCCCAGCCCCTTCCTGGACCAACGATGGCTACAATAACCAGTGCTAGAAACATGTTTTGGAGTCCACAGCTGTGGGTGCAAATCCTAGCATGGCTAGCTGCAGGAGAAACACCAACCCTGAGAGTCAGTTCTTTCTAGAGCCCACAGGCTGAGGGGAGGAAGCAGGTCTTCACTAGCTGCCTCCTTCCCATCCAAAGGTCGCTGTTCAGAATTCCTGAGGCTGTCTGGGGGGAGGGGAGGGTAACTGGATGCATACTTCTGGAGCCAGGAGCCAGGGGCTAGGCTGCTGCTTCAAGTAGGTTGCAAAAGGTGCCAACGGATAGCTCTCCAACAAGCCACATAAATTAAAAAAATAATCAAGACTTGTTCATACTTTGAATAAGGGCACATCAGAAGAAATCAGGATTCCTGAGGTCTACATCTTTGGGGGTTCAAGTGGAACACACAACTTGGGGTGGGATGGGTCTAGACACCCCCGGCCCAGATAGGGACCTGGTATGCCCACCCAACAATCTGCTGCCCTGGGGCTAGGTGCTTAAATCTAGCAGTGTGACTGCACAGCAGCTGCCTTCTGCAGTCCACCCCTCTGGGCTGCTAGCTCCGGTCTGTGTCCCTCTAGTGTTGGCATTCTCAGCACAGCAGTGTGTTCTGCCATCACTCCTAACTCCTTGCTGCAGAGCTGTGGCATCCCAGACAAAGTACCCATGTCAGTCCATAAGGAGGTAGTTCTGTAGGCCCCAGGCTCTGTAATGAGGCCCTGCTCCAGACAGCAGTCTTTTTTCAAAGAAATACCTGGACACCAAGTAGTGTGCCTCTTCGGTGGCTGGCTCCCTTGTGGCCTCATCTCTGATCAGATCCACGCCAATGAAAAGCCCGACACCCCTGGAGCAGAAGGTGACATCTAAGGCCAGGGTCTTGACCAAACTCCCTGTAGGAAAGCCTGTCTCCTGGGAAAGCTGAAAGCCACCAGGCAACATGGAGGGAAATCCTCGAAGGGGGTGGGGGTGGTGACAGTTCCAGGATGTAATGGTTGGGGAAAGTGGCTTCCATGGGGACACACAAAGGTGTGGGATCCAGACTGCTCTGTTTGGCTCTTCCCTCTGCAAGTGTTAATCTTGGGCAGCTACTTCTTGGCCTCAGTTTTCTCCCCGTTAAGTAAAGATAAAAGCTCCCACTATCCCAGGCTGTTAAGAGGGGAAGGTGACACTCCAATGGGCCCTGGTAGGTGCTTCATTAGTGGACATGATTTCTACCCCCAAAGCCTTACCTGACATCCCCTATGATGGGATGCTTGGCTTTCTGCTGCCGGAGGAGCTCCATCAGGAGGCTGCCCACGCAGGTGGCATGAGCCTGCAGCTGCTCCTCCTCTAAAACCTTCAGGACAGCCAGCCCCACAGCGCAAGACACGGGGCTGCCCCCAAACTGGGCCAGGGACAAAGGGCATGTCAGACTCCAGCAGAGTGGGCCCTGCCCCAGGTTGGGAAAGGAGCCAGTGGCCACTCCCACTCCCTGGGGCGCACAGGCCCAGGCCCTCAGGACTCAGGGTCCTCAATACAAATGAGATCCTCCTGAGGCCCTTATTAGCTCTCTGTGTTTCCAGGTGCCAAAGTAAATGTAACCCAGGTCAAGTACTCCCAGGGGGCAGTAGGAGTCCCAAGAAATGCAGAACCTGAGAATGGATCTCACATTCCACAGTAATGGTTTTTGCCAAGAGAGGATTCAGGGTCCCATCTCAGGGGCTAGGCCCACACCCACAGCATCAAACTACTTTCCATCAGTTCCTGGGGGTAGGGAGAGCGGTGTAGTGCAGTAGCTGTATGCTAGAGCCACACCTCGGAAAAGCCACTGTGTCTGGTCTGTTAACAGATTTGACACACAAAAAAATCTATATTTCTGACAAGAAATACCCTGATAAATCCAACAGAGCCCGATACCAATCAGCTGTTCTTTTCAGGCACCCTTGACTTATTTCTCTCTCCTGCCTGGCCCTGCAGGTGTCTGAGTTGGAATCTGCGTTTGGAGGATCTAGAGCAAGAGGGTCTCCTGCAAACCATGTTTTCTTTTCTTAAAAAAAAAATACAGCTAAAAACACAAGGTATAATTGAGATATAATAAACTGCACATATTTAAGGGGTACAGTTCAATGTGCTTTAATAAATATCTACACTTGTGTAACTACCACTACAATGACAACACTTTGAAAAGGTTCCTTCATCTACTCTTTACACCAGGCAACCACTGATCTGCTTTGTTCTTATTTTGCCTTTTCCAGAATATATAAATGAAACCATATAGCGTTATAGATTGTTTTCCCTCAAAATATGTGTTGAAATCTTAACCTCTACACCTGTAACCTCTATGCCTATATAAATGGAGTCCTGGTGTGGTGCTGTGTTAATGTGCTGGACTGAAAGGTCATTATGAACCACAAGGTCGGTGGTTCGAGCTCACCAGAGCTACACAGGGTTGCTATGGGTGGGTGCCTGTAAACATGACCCTGTTTGGAAATAGGGGTTTCCTTTTGTAATGTTACTGTGATGTGCCAGGGCAGGGTGGGTTCTAAACCTAATCACTCCTGAGTTACAAAAAGAGCTGAAGGGCACATCTACAGGTTGAAGACACACACCAAGGAATGCCAAAGACTTCATGGGGCTACCAACAAGGAAGAAACTCCCCCTACAGCCATGTCCTAAACTGTGAGGCAGTAAATTCCTAATCTTTTAAGCCACCCACTTCTATCTGTTAAAGCAGCACTAAGTAGCTGGGTCTCCTCTGCAACAGCATGTTTCTGACATTTATCTATGCTGTGCGTGTCAGCAGGCCATTCATGTCGGCTGTTTTCGTGTTTTTTTGTTTTTTTGTTTTTTGCTGCATAGCATTCCATATGGCATGGAATACCCAGTTTCTTGTTGATGGACTGTTGGGCTATTTTGAATTTTTGGTTACTAGGAATGAAACTTCTATGACCATTTGTATACAAGTCTCTGTATAAACAAACATATGTTCTCATTTTTTCTTGGGTAAGGAGTGGAACTGCTGGGCTGTATTACAAATGTATGTTTAAGTATATTAAAAATTACAAAACTGTTTTCAAAGTGGTTGTAGCATTTTACATTTCCACTGTCAGTGTATGAGAATGACACTTGCTCCGAATTCTTGCCAACACTTGGAATTGTCAGTCTTTTTTTTACATTTTAGTCTTCTAATGGGAGTCCTGGTGTGGTGCTGTGGGTTAATGCGCCAGACTGCAAAGCCATTTGAACTGCAAGGTCGGCAGTTCAAGCTCACCAGCTGCTCCTTGGAAACCCTATACAGGGCCGCTATGGGTCGGAATCGACTCAATGGCACTTAAAAACAACAACAATGGGGGTCTTGGTGTGGTGTCCTTGGATAAGCACTCCACCTCAAGGTTGGTTTGAACCTCAAGGTCAGTGGTTCACTCCTGGGAAACCCTACACTGGGTCGCTGAGTCCGAACCAACTTGATGGCACTAACAACAATGAATGGTGTGTAGTGATGTCCTAGGGACCATCTTGAAAATTAGCATGCAAAACTAAAAAAGTTTCCTAAGTGATTTTGCTATGATCACAGCAGCTTACTGATGTGTCCAAGATGAGAGGGAGAATTTAAGCTACATCCTACATGCGGTTGTGTGCTGTTAAATCAGTTCCCCTCAGTGATTCTATGGAGTGGAACTGCCCTATAGGGTTTGCCAGGTGTGGATAACTAGGTCACAGAGCAACTGGGGGTTCACACTGCTAACCTTTCAGTTAGCAGCTGAGCACTTTCTAGTTCAAGGGTAGGAGAATCCACTACCAATCCACTACTAATAGCAACTTTGGTTTAGAACCATGACCTGACCACAGTGCTAAAACAGTACAACTGTTTGATTTCTCACCTCATGGTCTTCCCAGAGGAACTACAAACATAAAATGGAGGAAATTGTGGAGAAACCCTGTTTGTTCGTTTTTTAACTATTATATGTGCAGTGGTGACCCTGGCTGGAGGCAATGGCACAGGGAAGTTAAGACAGGAAAGAACTGTGGGGTTTTATTCTTGCTGACTTCTCACTCCTACAGTGAGTGGCTCAACTCCTGATCCTCCTGCCCCTACACTCTTTTCCCTACAACTCCCCAGTTCACCAGGGTCCTTCTAGCCTTTTCTCTTAAGAAATGCTTGACAGAGAGGCCAGGAACCCAAGGGGAAAATGAGCTCAGAGGGCAAGATATCTAAGTAATAGAATTATTTCAAAAAAAGCAGAAATGTAAGAAAATGACATGTATTTAAAAGTAGCCCAGTAAACATACTAAAAGAGATAAGGGAAAATAATGGCATTGTGAAATAACAACAAAACATAATGAAACAAGTGGAAATAAGAGATTTTAAAAATTAAGAGTTGAAATAAATAATACAATTGTTGTTAAATGCTGTAGAGTCAGTTCTGACTCATAGAGACCTTGCACATGGTTTCCAAAGAGTGACTGGTGGGTTTGAACCACCAACTTTGTGGTTAGCTGTCTAGTGCTTACAATAGATACAGAAAACGCATAATGGATACAGAAGAGGAGTTGTGAACTTAAAGACCAGTGTGAAAAAATTCCCAGAAGAAAGAAGGGACAAAGAAAGACCGATGTAAAGTGCTAACAAATGAATAATAGAAGATCTAGGAGTCCTGGCGTGGCGTTGAGAGTTAATGCACTGGGCCGCAAAGTCAGTTTGAACCACATGGTTGGTAGTTCAAGCTCACCAGCACTTAACAACAATAACAAAGGGAGATACATTTGTGGGAATTCAAAAATGACAAACTATCTCAGATTCAAATAGTCCATAGAATATCCATTACGAGAAAAACAGAGACAGCAACATTTGAACACATTATAAAGAAAGTTTAAAAATAGCAAAGACAAAAACAAAGTTCTAAAATCCTACACAGAATGCAGATCATATACAAAGGAACAAGAATCAGTAACTTCAGGGTGATACCAGCAAACGTGATAAGAGTAAAAACCTCTTGATCCTACCTTCTCCTCTACAACAAAAACACAAGCAAAAGCTGTCAAACTTAACTCTTCCAGAATGCTGGAAATTACAAGCTTGCAGAAATCGGGAGAGCATTTAAGGAGCTCTGGTAGCGTAGTGGTTACGAATCGGGCTGTGAACCTAAAAGTCAGCGGTTTGAAACTACCAGCCGCTCTGCGGGAGAAAGATGAGGCTTTCTACTCCTGTAAGGATTTACACCCTCGGAAACCCTGTATGGGGTCGCTATGGGTCGGAACCGACTCGACGGCACACAACAACAACTGGTGACTCTGGTAGGAACAGTGAGCGCTGGGACATTTTAATTTATGCTATTTCCATCATCCCCAAGCTCTTTGAAAATCAACAGCCTGAAATCTTGAAAAACCAGCAGCTTGGCTTGAGTGGGACAGCAGGATGGGGTTACTTCAAAGCCCCATGTCTGCAGACCTGTTACATGATGTGTCTAGTAGTTCCCTTGGAAACCTCACATGCACGGCTGTTCTTATTTGACCTGATTTGGAGTTCACCCAGTGAGAACAATCTTCTACCCTGGGGGTGCTTGCTGAACATAATTAGAGATAATTGTTTAACATCTTGGCTGCCTGAAGTATTGGTTAACAATTGAGGCTAACTAACCTAAAAGTTTAAGAGAAACAGAGAAAAAGCCAAGGAACATCTTATTCATAAGGGGCTTTGAACAGCCTTCACATAGTCCTGGGAACTGATAACCATACACAGGGCTGTGTGTGTGCATGAGGGAACTGTGAAGGCCCTAAGCTGTCACTTTTGGCTAACTTGAAGCTCTGAATAAGCAAATGAAAGGCAAAGGTTAAACTCTGTAAACTACCTGGCTGAGTATCAAAAGCATGCCTCCACATGTACACACAGTCCCTTGACAAAGACTGGCACACTTATTGATTCTGGGCATTTAAGGGTGTCTCTGTCAACATAGAAAAAAAAAAAAAAAAGTATGGCCCTTCTACAGGGGTGGGAGATTAGAAATGGTCAATAGAAACTCCATAAGGAGTTCTGGTGTAGCACTGTGGGTTAAAGCACTGGCCTGCAAAGTTAGTTTGAACCACAAGATTGGTGGTTCAAGCTCACCAGCTGCTCCTTGGAAACCCTAATACAGGGTCACTATGAGTTGGAACTGACTTGAAGGCACTTAACAACAACAAAGGAAGCCTAGATGTTGGACATAACAGACAAAAGATTTTAAATCAGGTATTTTAAATAGGTAAAAGAAAGAAAGAAAACCATGTCTAAAACAACTAAAGAAAGGCATGAGAATGATGTCTCACCAAGTAGAGACTATTAATAAAGAGACTGTTGTTGTCTTGTGCCAGTGAGTCAACTCTGACTCATAACAACCTTTGTGTTACAGAATAGAACGGCTTCATCTA